CGTCTTTTTGGGCAGGCTGGCAGGCTGGGCCCGCGGGTCCAGCCCATATTACCGGTTCTATGGGGAATAAGATTCATGGGGCTTTTTCAGAAGGGAGTGTTGAAAATCGGAACAAAGAAAGGACAACAAAAGTAATCACGTCTCCAAGTGGACAATATCAGAATAAAGTGGTGACATTAGGGTATCTTTGTTATCATAAGCAGCTATATATGATATTCGTTTCATATGTTCATAGAGGGGGTTTGCACACACATCACTGTCTAATTCTATAATCTATTCATTAAGTTAGTTTTATGCTATTAATTAGGATTTGTATCATTGCTTGGACTTGTTAATGTTTGACGATATGTAATCCTTGAATCATTTCTTTTAAGTAACACCATATCCGGTCCTTAATATAAAACATAGTTAATTAATTTTGAGAGATTAAGAAAGTTAAAAATTTATTTAATTATAGCATGTGTTACATAATCTTTTTTAAATGCTTATATGTGTATTGTTACACTATATACCAGTTTATAAGTTAGACGAATTAGTTTGAAAAAATAATAATAAATATAAATACGTTAAAGTAATTTTTTAGTTTCGTTAATCTTTCCCAATTAGTCAAATAGGTTTTATCTTAAAAACCAGAGATAGTATCATCTTTTTTACATTTTCTAATTCTGTCATCAGTTGCTGCATGAAATTGATCAAATCTTAACCAACCAAGTCAATCTTCATATGCAAATTAAGCTATATGGCATGTACATACATATAGATATATATTGTAGCACCAGAACAAACTCAGAACAACAGGTATTAGTTGACGTGAAAGGCAAAGTGAAAGGACGAACTGGTAGTAAAGGGAAACTTTTCATCAACCGCCTCACATATTACTACTATCGTTTACAGTTTATAAATAGGGTTTTATAATTATGACATAGATAGTATATTATATATATAAAATATTTTTGTTGACAAAAATCAAAAGCCCTGTTGGTACAAGTAATTGTGCTGTTCTCAGAAGTAATTGACAGCATATAGAAGTGGAAGGCAAAGTAGAGATATATGCGTAACATCACATGGAATGATGGATCAATAATCCATGGATGCTTTCAATTGATAGTAGCTTAGTGGAAGGATATTCCTTGATCATGGATGCATGCATGGCAATGGCTGACTACCAACCAGCACTAAAATTTCACAGGAATACGATTCCCTTTACGCACACTTCCCTTTTCTCTCTGCAAATTCTCATTCTCTCACTTAAAGATATTAACAATTAAAGTGCTAGCTGCCAATACAAAGATAATAAAACAAATGCACTGCAACTCACCAATACATGTATGAATGAACAGCTGGGCACTCTTTTATATGCAGTGTCTATCTGATACGTAGAAAAGAAGTGTTTACACGTAGAGAAAAGAAGAGAGATACTCCCCCAAATCCTATATATAAGCTTCACTTTTGAAGAAGGGTCTTGTATAAAATATAAGCTTTATTTTTGAGTTTGTCTAAGTATTTATTACTTTTTATCCTGTTTTGCCTTCTCTCTCTTATTAATATTACCCCATATATTTTCTTTTATTATTTTTTCATTTATTACCTCTCTCATTATTTTCTTAATAAATAAAGACAAATTTGAAAACAAAAATATTTCTCATCTGTTTATTATTTTTAACTTCTAGTCCGTTAAATGTAATTTGGTCATTTGAAGATTACATATAGGATCGGAAGGAGTATATAGATGTGTTTCCCTGTTTTTAAACACTTGGAGATGAAAATGAAAGGGTTTAATTTGAAAGCTAGCGAAGGAATATTCTCAGCATAGTATCGAGACTGCGGTTGAGAATTGAAGTACTATCTCTAGTCCTAATTATGACATCTCGTTTATAGATTACAAACGTGGATTTATAATTAGAACAGGAGGTAGTAGTATAATTGAAAGTCTTAGTTTCAGCAACGAAATTTCAGCGGCGATTAAAAAAGTCGCCGCTAAAACAAAAAAAATTGTCGCTGAAAGTCTTAGTTTTAGCAGCGACTTTTTTTGTCGTTACCGAAAGTCGTTGCCTAAAATCTGTTTTTTTGTAGTGTGCGTTGGGTACTATTTTTAATCAGTTTTATACACACACAGTTGGGTGTTCTTTTAATCATCAGCTATATAAATATATATATATATTTATATATAGACACACACACACCTATAGATATATATAGAGCGCGCGGGCGCACACGTGTATGAATGCATGCGTGCGTGTCCCAGTGGAATATCTGTCTTGTCAGTTCACTTGTGTGTGCGCGAGAGATATGCTGTATCTTTATTTCACATTACGCGCCTAAATATAAATGCTTTGCTTTTTTTTTTTTTTATGGCCTTAATATTTTCAACCATTGTTCTTTACTTGGAATCTTCACTTTTTATTACCTTCATGGATTGGCTAGCCGGTAGGCACACCTCGTTTCCATCGCTTTCTTCTTCCTCACATTATGCAATTTGCAACCTAATGGCAAAAATAATCAAGCGGTACTCTATTGACAACTAAGGACACTGTTAGAGGACTAATGTGAAAAAAGGACTTCCAAATTGTCATCATTTCCCCCACATATTTTTGGGCATTAGTTTGTGTGTTTTTAAGTTTATCATCTTTGATATTTATTATAAGAACCGCTTAACAATTTCACGGATATTAAGAAATTTAATTAAAGTTCAGTATGATTTTAGCTTGGTCCAGAATTTAACCGATTTCTCATCTTAATTTCTCTAATTGCTGTGTATATATAATATAGGACTGTAAGAGGGAGGAAGTCAAAGCAACAAAGGGCATTAAGAGAAGAAAATATATATATATTTGACACAAATTGAAAACGTTTTTATAATAATAAACACCAACCAACTCTTTGAAAATTAAAAAAATATTTTTAAATGAAAGACTATATAAGGAAGCGCCTCTCAGTGTTGGTGCAGTTTTATATATTATTTCTGGAACTTGAGGTTTAGAAATGACGGCATATACTATAAATTGAAGAATTATAAATGATAATAATAATATATAAGTCTGATTGAGATAAAGTAATAAATTGATTCTCATTTCCCTTGCTTTTGCTTTTGCCTTCTCACTCTTGACGATGCTCTTAAATAAGGCATCAAAGTTTTTGTTTATTTTAGAGTCAAACGTGCAAAAGGCAAGCTAATATATATATATATATATATATATATGAGTCAATGGAAGATGCCCTCCCCATCGGTCTTTTTTATGGCATCTCTTTTAATTCAAGTCCTTTATTCCACAATTCCTCATTTCTTAAATTCTTTTTAACCACAAATATTTGTCCATGCTAAACATATTCTTGAATATTGAGTCACGTTAAACAAATCAAAATGATTCTGTCTTGATGTTGTGACTAAAACTCCTCCCCCTCCCTGTCATAGGCTCATGGCAACAACGTTCTCCCTGTCATAGGCTCATAGCAACAAAGTTTTTTGCATAAAACAATCAGAGTCGGTTGTAAAATCAAACCAGTTGGAACTAAAAAAAACTACAAGACACTCCAAACCAGGAATAAAATAGAAGTAGATACTCACAATTTAAACCAAAATAATACTATATATACACTCCTTTGGGTTCTGGTCCTATTTATAAAGCAGAGAGAGAAAATTTTTCTTGGTCTTATTTATAACTAATTGCATTAAATTTTTAGTATAAATGTATTATTTTGTCCTTCATTTATTGTAGACAGTTATTCTTTTGAAAACTGTACAAGTTAAATGGGAGCAAAGTTGAAAAGTTATCATGTTTTAATGAAGAGTTAATGTCATATTTAAGGTTTTTTTTTATCTGTGTAAAATATGTTGGAAGTGTCTTATAAATAGGACCAAAAGAGTATATGATAAAGCTTCTTTTTTTTTTTTACTTGAGTATATGGTAAAGCTGAAACCATTGAATAGAGAACTTAACAGAAATACAAAATAGTCATGTATGAGTAATATATAACTATAGAAACTAGCGCACTAGGTGGTCATTAAAAAAAAAAAAAACCTTTAGTTAAGCATTTAGATTTGAGTATACATTAAGAAAGGATGTAAACAAAACCTTCTAGTTTTTTTTTTTTCCCGGCAAAAACTCTAGTTGAAGTGATAATTAATGATATATATATTTCAATTCTTTTAACTGCATGATTTTGCATTAAGAGCAGAAAGCGGTAATTAATACTCTTCCGGTTTTTAATATAGAACTTAATTGTTGAGTTGATTTTGATTCTAAATATAAGATCCATTTATTATATTTATCAGTTTTCTCTAAACTATCTATATGGATACTCTCTCAACCATAATCAAGTAAAAGAGGAAGAAAGAATACTAAGAAAGATGATTATGATATTTTAGAAAAAACATGTCACATTTCTTACAATTAATTAACTTACTTAGTTTCTTTAATTTAATCAAATTAGTTAAATGAATTTTATATTAAGGATCGGAAGAGTATATATGACTTTTTTTTTTTCATTAACCAAGATAAAAGAAATGAGAATGGATAGATAAATGGCTTTTGAGCTGGGTTTAGCCAATGAAGAGCTAACATTACAGATTTAGAGGGCATGATCTCTCATGCACACACGCGCGCGCACCTTTTTTGATTAATAGTTGTTGAATAGAGCAATCCCATTAAATATTAAAAAAATGTGAGAATAAATAATTACCTCTCTTACAATAAACACCAGGAAGTGTTTGGATAAAAACCAAATCATAGTTTCAGAAGTGTTTTTACAGTTTACGAAATAAATATATAGAGAAATTTATCTTGTTTTACGGAAAAGTGCTTCTGAAACCATAGTTTAGAAGTTGACAAACATCCCAAAGCTTTCCTAAATAAGAGTATTTCATATGTACCATATAGCTTATCTATCTAAAGGCATCTTTAGGCTTAAGAAGCCTTTTTGTTTTTGGGCCAACGGCTTACGAAGACATTAATAAAGCCAATAAAAATGTAGTTATATATATATATATATATATATCTCTCTCTCTGTAAAATATACAATATGGCTTTGATTTGTTTATTACAAAAGCCGGGTATGGTGTGACCATGAAGAGCTTCCATGTCAAAACTAGAGGGACTCCTCAAAATCCAGAGATTAGTGTCAAATTAACAGGGTAAGAGGGGCGACTGAGTACTTAATCTTCTGCGGAAGGGTGCACCACACGCTCTGGTGCTCCGTTATCAATGTAACTGTCACCGTTCATCTGATCAAGAACCAGGACGAGTCCCATGGCGAAGGCCCCATCGAATCCAGGCTTGACGCAGAGCGAGAACACTTCTTTGCCCAGCATCACCCTTGTGGTGGGATCCACCTTCCGTCGAATCTCCGCCACCAGTTTCCTCTTGGCGTTGTAGATCTTGCAGCTCCGCTGCGAGAAGCACCCTTCGATCTGGTACTCCTCCCCGGATCCGTCGTACACCTCCACCGTCACCGTCGTCTTCGACCGTCCGATCATCGACGATCTCTTCACGCTGAAGATCGGCTTGTCCCCGTCCATCCTCTCCCCTCTAAAACCCTCCCACCGTTGATGCAAACTCGGCCTCTGCATTCGCAAATCGAACACCAAACCCATTTTAATCCACCATTATAGTAATACATAATCCAAATAAGCTAATTAAAACTGATCTCAATGATTGATCGGACGCAGTGAGTGGGCTCGCAAGTACAGGAGAACTACGTACCTTGCGGCGGACGGTGAGGAGGCAGCCGCCACGGGGATCCATGAGGACGACTTGATCTTGGAGGCGGGGTTGGGGGCCGTAGGAGTCGACACGGAAGACGAGTTGGCCGTGGGAGTTGTAGACGGTGAAGCCGTCGCCGACGAAGAAGAGGGAGGTCTTGAGGACAGTGAGGTGGGTTTCTTGTTTGAAGACATAGCAGTCTTGGGGGAGAGAGGGCTCTTTCAACTTCATACTGTTGGGTTTACTGTACAGTAAATTCCTGAATCTGCGAAAGATCTCCAGGAGGACGTCGAAGTGAAACCAAAGAGTGACGGGCAAGACAACGGAGAAGCAGAGTGACGGGCAAGACGACGGAGGAGGATGAAGCTGAAAGGGTCAAGTTAGAGGGAATGTATATATAGGACTTGGAAGGGTGAAGAAGAAAAGGCACACGCAGAGAACTCGGAGGCCATATTTTGACACGTGGAGTTTGATGAGTTGTCACATTGTCAATGGAGTAATTAACATGGGACAGTAAGCTGTGGCCTTTCCTGGTTTCCTCCCCCGAATGTAAAATCATTTACAGCAGTACATGTCCAATTCACAACTTGATAATGCTAAAAAAAGAAAAACTTTTTCCTCACTCATATAATTGTGTCTTAATCTTTTAAATGTCATCTAAATTTTTCATGTGGTGGCATTTCTTATCATCCATCCGACAAACAGCCTCTGATAATCTAATTTTTATATATTTGAAGAGCTCCGAATTTTCTTGGTCAAATCATAACAATAAAACACTTTTCTTCAATTCTTAATATAAAACTCGGTTAACTAATTTTAAAAAATTTAAAAATTTATTAAATTACTTAATATAATTATAACATATGCTACATTATCTCTCTAAAATATTTATATGTATTATCAAATTATATATAAATTTATAAATGAAGCAAGTTAATTTTAAAATAAAAAAGATAAATATAAATACTTTAAAACAATTTAGTAACTCTCTTGATCTCATTTAGTTAATTATATCTTATATTAAGAATTAGAGATAGTATGATTTATTGAAAAAATAAAAAATCCAACCACGAGATTTAACACAGTTGGCACTTACCTGACTTACTTAAATATCTCGTAAGGGGTTGGATTTTTAGATGTGTGTATGGATATGGTCTACTTTACCCTTGGTTAGCTACTCATTTAATTCTCTCTCTCTCTCTCTCACACGTATAAATAAATAGAAACATAGGAGTAGAGTGATTCTTATGGACTTAATTAATTAACATTAAAGAATACTACCTCTGATTCTAATTATAACATCTCGTTTGTATTCTATAAATAAAATCTCATAGTTAGAATAAAAGGTACTCTTCCGATCCTTAATATAAGACCCATTTAACTAATTTGATTAAATTAAGGAAGTTAGGTAAATTAGTTAATTATAAGAAAAGTGACATATTTTTCCTAAAACACCATAATCATCTTTCTTAATACCCCATCTCCCTCTTCTACTTGATTATGGTTGAGGGAGTATCCATGGGAATAATTTAGAGAAAATTGAAAAATATAAAAAATGAATCTTATATTTAAGACCAAAACCAACTCAAGAATTGAGTCCTATATTAAGGACTGGAGGAGTAATACAAATTTGAGCTGATTGGTTATTGTAAATATTTGCTGGCAAGAACAAAAGGGGTAGCTGTAGAAGTTGGGGCGCAAATTCGGGTGGTTCATGAGTTGTCGAGGGAAAGATACCTGCGCTGTGAGTGAATGTGACCTAGAAAGCAAGAAGACTTGTTAGTGGCTCCAGGAATGCGTGTGAGGTAAACGACTCGATTATGCAGCTGAGTTGTTTGGTCCCAGTCCACTCGGTGCCACGTGTCCGTCGGTTAGATGCCCGGAGATTTTATCCCCAGCAAGATCATGGACCCAGTTTCATCTTGGCCATTTTTTCTACTAATTACATATATTTCAACAAGACATGGTTATTCTTCAAATATTAATTCCAATACATACATAATTATTAAAAAAAATATTATATATGTAATTAAAGAAACAACTAGAAAGTATAGACAAATTCAAAAGCAACCCATGATTAGAATGTCAAACTCCTCTTCCAATTCAGAACTTTTCTTTGCATTGAAAAAATTGAAACTTTCGAAAATTCTTGTAGTGCTTTCAATTTGGACATCTTCAATCTGAAAGTTTTTTCATTTGATGTTTTCTCCCAACCTTCAATTGTAGAAGGTTAGAGACTCTTTTTCCTCCAAAAGTTGGCGCCAAAGGTTAATGTTGAGACAGTAAATTTATTTGTTTAATTATATTATCTTTGAGATTTCATTCTTGATATATAATTTTTTTCCTAATTATAATTTTCTAATGAAAATAAATGAAGTATTTTTGACATCAGTGATTTGTGATTCCGCACCAATTTTTGAAAAATTACAATTGAATGAATTTTTTTTGGCCAAATACAATTGAATGAATGGAACAACAGAGCCTTGCCTGCTATTAATTGAAATGGTGTGTATTGGGTGATGAGCACTTGGTGCTCATCACAATACTTAGTAGGGAAACTAGTTCCACAAGATCATAGTCTCGCAGGTTTGCAACATTATTTTAAGTAGTGTTTGGATGAAAACTAAATTATGATTTTAAAAGCAATTTTATAACATACGAAGTAAATACGTGAAGGAATTTGTCTTGCTTTGTGAAAAAATACTTTTAAAAAGTACTTGTGGTCTTATCCAAACACCTCCTAGATTCTAAGCAGGATTTTTGTCTCCTTTTAACTTGGATGAATGTAAGAACATTTTAAAAAAAATATATTTACATAAGTTAATATAAAATTTGTACACCATCAAATCATTTTTAAAATTATAATTTAGTTTTTACCCAAACACTTTCTATAATGTATGAATTGTGCGTTCATTTCATTTTTTTTAATTTTTAATTTGATTCCAAAAAAATATTTGTAAATAATCAAGAAGTCCAACGATTGGGGAAATGGGTGAATTATCTTTATTTTGAAATTTCTTTTCCGCTAGGAAGGACATGAATTCAGAGACTTTTTTTTTTCACCTGGGAATTCAGAGACTAATACTTTCTGTATATGACATAATGTAGAGTTATCAATACTCTGTACACAAAACACATCAAATATTTTTAATCAATAAAATTTTCAAATAAATCCTTTTCATCCATTTATAATCTATATATAGCAACTTTTGTTTAATTTAGAATTACAAGGCCCGCATTTTATTTGTAACTATTGTAACAAAATTAAGAGGTATTTTTTTTATAAAAAAAAATAAGTCTAGATTCTAGAAGGCCCGTTAGGTTTAAAATAAGAAAAAATTATTTCTTGATTCAATTACAAGGATCTCAACCATCTCAAGATTAGATTAGGAATTTAGGATAAGTATCTATCTTAATATTTTTATTTGGTTTTAGAAGATCCGTATACAGGAATATATAAATATGAATAATGGATGCTATGAAACACGAGACGTACTAATTTAATTTGTTGCTTAATTTTGGGCAAATTGAGGTTTAGGACATAACTAAAAACCTCACCAACTTTGCTCAAATTCATAGACAAACTTGCTAAAATTAGAAAGGATTCAATGTTACGTAAGATATAATAAGACCACAGATTCCGGATTCATTCAGTTGGCCATAATTGTCCCAAACTCAAAAAGGGAATGGAAAGAATGAATGTGATTTGCATTTGATAGAATTATCTAGAATAATGCAAACAGAGTAATATTGAAATGCGGCTCTAAGTATGTTTGTGCGGGCGCGCAAGGCTTTGTTCAAAATTGAACAAATGGAAAGAAATCGAGCTAAAATGATGCGAATATGATCATTTGATTTGGTTTGTTTCAAATCTAATTTGGTTTGAATCAATTATGGATCCCAAAAAACGATTTTTTGAATGCCCAATCCGAAAATTTTTGAAACAAATTTGTATATTAATCTTTTAACATATATAAAATTAAGCTTTAATTTTTAATAAGAGTATATTGAAAGAATCTTACAATACTTTTACATCTTTTAATGAATTAACTATCTTCTTATCCATGCCCATGCATGTAGGGCTGCATAACAATAAATAGACTAGATCAAATGAGAGTCTAACTTCAAGTTTGGTTTGATTTTTTGGTTAGACTAGATTTAGTAGTCTGTGGTTTGATTCAATCTAGTAATAATTTAAGGTCAAGTTGAGCTGAACTTGATCTCCCAGACTAGTAGACTAGTTTAGGAAGTCCAGAAGACTAAAACTCCTTTTTTTTTTTTAAATTTTTTTATGGGAAGCAATATTTGAAAATGATAAATACAATATTAAGACAATAAAAAAATACCTATTATCATATAAAACTCATCCTTAAATATCATAAATACATCAGAATCTCTAACAACACTAAAAACAATGAAATGTAACATTTAAATTACAAATTATTAGAAAATAAAAAATTCACCTAAACCGAGCTAAACCAATCCATATGGTGTGATTACTTAGTTTGGAACTTAGTCTGAACCTAGCAACCAATGTGGTCCAATTATATAATTTATTTGAATTAGACTTGACCGGATTGAACCCCCTCAGGTTAATGCTGAAATAAAAAATTCAAAAATTTTGAAGTAAAAAATTCAAAAAAAATTAGGTGAAATGTCCCTCTTTTATTCCGAATGGGACATGACGTTTTTGCAACAAGACGGAATATAAGACAAAAATATTATCCCATCTCATGAACTACCTTGATAATGAGAAAAAACATTTTTTATATGACGAAAATTAAACCAATCTTACAAATAATAAGTATTAAAAATTTAACTGAACCTAATTTTACATCTAGAACAAAAAATGTTCAAAATTCTGCCAAACTAATTAATTTTATAGGATTTGATTTTTTTTTTCCTCCTCAAAATTGAACTGGAATCAATCAAATATATGAATCCAGCAATAAGTTGCGGTCCCCCATTGCTAATTGTAATGACAGCCTCTCTGAAGTCGCACACACTGAAGACTAAAAATGGAAACCACCTTTAAAATTTAATGCCTCTTAAAATAAATTCAAAGATTATTTAATTCATTGATTCACGAAGGTAGCACGTGGATGACTTTGCTTCGCTACTCCTCTTGACTTTGCCATAATTGGCTCATTAATTAGGCTAAGTCAAAGCCCCACCAAATTAAACGTCCCGTGCCAAACACCTTCATCTGTGATATTTATTTTTATTTTTATTTTATGTATATTTACATATCCACCGTCACACTCACAAGTTCTCCATCTTTCAAAGGATGATGCCATCCTCATTATTTGGATCGCTCAAGTCTCAAATCTCAGAAGAAATTAC